TGTAATTAATCTTTATTTTATGTTTCAGATTTGTTTAATTTTTATATGATATTTTTTTTATGTATTTTTTTTATTTATGCATTTTTTATAAGTAAAGAATGAAATATTATAAGGTTTTTGGAAAAATTTATTGCATGTCTATTAATTTATGTAATTAATCTTTATTTTATGTTTCAGATTTGTTTAATTTTTATATGATATTTTTTTTATGTGTTTTTTATTTGTTAGCTTTAGGTTTCGATGCGTAATCTTCGTCGCTTTAATCTCTTTGTTGTTTTCCAAACTTTTCGTTCTTCAAAATTCTTTATTACAAACTTTATCTCGTTATAAAGTTTTCGAATTATTCTAAATTTAAAAATATCGAATATATTTTATCCATAATAGTCTTCGAAAAACAAATCAAGAACTCCTTCTGTGGTCCAATAAACTTTCCATAATTCCGTTTAATTATTTTGATCAATTTTTTAGATAAACTGGACTACAGATATCAATAAAAATTAATAAATCTCATTTCTTTCATGGGTATTGAAATCGTTTTCTAATTTCTTTCTCAATTTTATTTTCATGTCTTTATTCTCATGATTTGTTTGATGATTCCTATAAATCGATTATAACAGAATTGATTTTTTTAATTTCTTTCTTTTTCTCTTACATTATTTTTTTATTATGTCAATAACTTCTTTTCGTTTGAAGTAAGACGTGCATATCTTTAATCCACTTATCAGTGATGCCAATAGAGTGTATGAATTCTTGATTTGATATTATTAGGTCTAAATTAAGATAGATTTAGTCTCATCGTTGGATATCGTGGGATAAATTGTTGTAAAAAATATAAAAAAAAATGCTGTAAAAATCATTGTCAAATTTCGTTGTATAATAATTCAAATAATTATTTCATTTTATGTATTCATAATTAATATTTCTTTTACATTTCAGATTTATTTAATTTTTATATATTTCTTTATAATTTAACTCTTGTTATTAATTTATTTTATATATTTTATATTTTTCTAATTTGTTTAAGTTAATGGTTAATTTTAATTTCTTTTTTAGTTTTAGGTGGGTCTCGATGCGTAGTCACCTCCTCGTTGGTGAGACCTGGTAATTGGTATCGATTTTTGTATTAGATTAATCTTTGAAAATTTTCCTTTGAAAATTTTCCAAAGATTATTCTTTAAAAAACGATACCAAGCTAAGAACTACGCAGTGTTTGTAGCTCAATTTAAATTATTAAATTCTTTTTGGATATTTTGGTTATCTAAATTGATCTGCAGGTACTATTTTTTTATTAAATATTCGTGGGAGATTCTTATGTTCCTTTTTATGCCATTGGAACAAATAGTTCTTGTTAAACTGCTGTCGTAATTTTTAATTCACTATGACTAACAAGTATCATTTATTTGGCGATTTAGAAAGGGTTTGTTTTTTTTCTTTATTTTTTTGCTTTTTTTTTTTCCTTTTTAGAATTCTATTTGTTTTTTATATAATAGTTTAATTGATTAATCAAGTTTTAATTTGTTTTATTTTGCTTTAAATATTAATTTTAATATTTTAGATTTATTATTTAACTTTAGATAAATCTCAATGCATTTCTTCTCTAGTCACTTCTCTGTTAGTAGAAACCTGATAATTGGCATCATTTTCCAAAATTTTGCTTTTCAAGATTATTGCTTATAAAAAGAATACGTAAAAAGTGTTTTTTTAAAAAGATTTAGTAATTTTCGTTAAAATATTTCATTAATAATTTTTTTTGGAAAGTTAGAAATTAGTTTTGCCAAACTAAATTATATTTTAATTCACTTTTTATGTTCTAATTCTTTCTAATTTAATTAATTTTTGTAATTTTCTTTTTTATATTATACTTTTTTTATATTTATTTAATTGTTACCTGATATTCTTTTATTATGCTTTAATCCTCTTTAATTTGATTAATTTTTTTGTTAATTAATTTTTATGACTAATTCTTATTATATTTTTCATTTAAACTTTTAGTAGAATTTTCAGACATAGGAAAGTGTAATAATTGCATATTCTACAATATTTCAATTTTCGCGCGATTAAATAAATAGGGAATTATGCTTTTAGCCAATCAGAAAACCTCTAATGTCTGTGGTGTGTATGGCATCATTCTTCTGCCGAAAATTATTCTAATGTTTCGCCGATTCAAGCTACGTGATTTTATTTAACAATTATTTAATTCTATTTCTATTTTATTGTGAAAATTACAAATTGCATTAATTATTATGGTAGAAAAATTACTTTTGTTTTTGTGTGCTTTCATTCTTGCATTAACTGATTGATTGTTGAGGTTATCAATTTTACTTATACTGAATTTTTCAGATTTTGGTTCATTATTTTAATATAATTTTATATATTTATATAAAATATATTCTAATTATAATTTCGAATATAATTTTATCATATATATATATGTTTTACTTTTAATTTTGATTTTTACTTATACAAATTATAGTTGGATAAAATTATATTATAGTTGGATAAATGTGGGATATTGAAAGAACAAACATGCTGAATAACATGTACATAGCACGATGATTTATAGCTGCTAATTTTCCAACAAGTTAGGTAATAATACTTTATTTCATTTCTTAACAATAAAAATAGAACTTAGAATAAATTTCTTTTTCGAAATGAATATACAATAATTAATTGTAATAAATTTTATTTCATCAAATTATTTCATCAACTTATTATTTCAACATAAATATATATTTATTTATCTTATTATTAATATTTTTTCTCCTTGATTGTGTTATGTTCTATATTATAAATGAATTTTTCAAAATAAGTAATTTTTATTTCATTAAATTATTTTTTTTTTTTATTCATTTATATTTTCGAAAGAAATTTGCTTATTTTAATTTAATATATTTAATAAATTTTATATATTTTATCTATTTATCTATTCATTTATTTAGTTCAGTTTTTCCTTTTCATTTTTACATGATACAAATATATAAGAAGAAATTTTTTAAGATGAAATGCGTTTAAATTTTCTCTTTTATGTTTAATTATTTTTTATTTTTAATTATTTTTAGTTTTATTTTATCATGATTTTCTCTTTTGTATCATCATTTAGCGAAATTTAATTAATTTTTATTTTAAATTGCTTTATAAAAATTCTATTTTGGGTTAATTTTTGTATTAAATTAATTTTAATTCTTTATTTTTATTATATTTTTTATCAATTTTATCAATTTATCGAATTTCATAGAAATTTTCAACAAAATTATATTATGTAATATTTAAATTTTCGCGCAGTTTAATATAAGAAACCTTAAGATTCAGCCAATCAGAAAATTGCAACAGCGCAGTAACGAGACAAAGCATTGCGCATCTTAGTGCGCATGGCGTCAGTTTACCATCGAAATTTGTGGACACAGGACGTGTAATACCGGTATAAGTGCGTAATTTTGTACAAGTTTCCTCGATATTGTGGTGTGATTTGTTAAATATCAATAGCCTGTTTATTTATTACACATTTATTTAATCGTGTATAAAGCAATATTCCGAAATTAAATAGTTTTTTGCACTTTTTTTTATTGTTTCTATGTTGTTCGTCTATACGACAGTTACCGGTTATTTGTATCGTAAATCTTTGAACCAGAATTTCATTTCAAATATTGCTTTGATTCAATATTACTTAAATCTACATTTATTTTACGATTTTGATTTTCATTTGTGCAGATTATACACGATTCTGATTTAAGAAGTAATAGCCGATCTGGTTAT